TTGAAAAGGGGGGTTTCCCCTCTAACCTAGGTTAGAATGGCCAATTAGATTGCTAAGCACAAACATGCACAATCATCATGAAAAATACCTCAATCATTAAATTAAACAACACCCATAAATAATCATTCAATTCACACTACAACTACATCGCAAATAGTTAGGATTTCACAACACCCAAGTGAAAAGGTAACTACTCCATGCTAGAAAGGGGAAGAACACAAAAAAAAAAAAGAAGTAGAAACCATCATGGAGATGCCTCCACTCTCCTTTGATCTTGTGTTGATTTTCTGTTGAGGAGATTCTTCCCAATTTACTACTTGGAGCAAAGCCTCCTTTCTCCTTTGGTCCGTCCTTTCTCTCTCTAAAATCTGAAGAAGAAGGTGCTTTCTCACTCTTGGGCTCTCCCTCTCTCTTCCTTTCAGCTCACATTTTATACTGGGATCGGGCTCAGTTCATGGCCGTGAACTCTTCAACGCGTCTGTGAACTTGGAATGTTGTGTCGAAACGCACCACTTTACTCACCCGAGTTCACGGTTTGCACTCAAAGTTCACGGTCTTAGTGACGTAAACTCACTCGGCGTCAGTAACTTCAGAATTCGCCTTGGACGCTTCGGGATCCACGGTTTATGGCCTCAGTTCACGGCCTTAGAAGACCGTGAAATCCAATGTAAAACCGTGTGCATGGTCTGAATCACCCTCTTTGCCCGGTCTTTGCTCCTTTTCTTCCAACTTTTGACTCCGAGGCGGGTTTCATCTGTTGAATCCTGAAAAACATTGAAACATACAAAACCTAGAGTAAAACCAACCTTTTAGGAGCACAAATGCCACAAACGTCCAAGTGAAACAGGGATAAAATATGTGCAATTAGCCCCGAATCATGAACCGAGATTCACACTACCCGACATTGGGGGGAAAATGTCAGTCTTTCCCCTCATTTATTTCTCTAGACCTCAATAAGCTGAAATTATTAGAGGTGGGTATACAAATGAAACAAAACAATTCTAAAGGGAAATTATGGGGAATATTTTAGACATTTGTGTCGCCAAACCAAGGTTCGACCATGGTTGGCTGTTTTTGGAAGCAAATTTTAACAGAAGGGCATGTTTGATCATTTTTACAAAGCACAGTGACATATTTGATGTAAAGAATAGTAGAGGGGCATGTTTGATAAAACTACATAGTAGAGGGGTATATAATACATACAACCCATATTAAAACTAATCGAAGTCTAATGAAGCCAAGTAACAAAACACAACATGTTCTCAATTTCGCGTAATTTCTCGGTACACCAGCTAAATGCCTTTTGTTTTCCATTATTTTGGTCGTTTGGTTTTGCTGATTGTTTGGTTGGGATAGTTACAATGCATGCATTGTCCATAATGTATTATTTTTTTATTTATTTTTTGCACAAACATTACATGCATTGTTTGCTTGAAATGACACAAACTATCACTCATTTGAGTGATAGTTAAATCTCAAGTTTTTGGTGAGATTGTTTGATTGAGACTATTGAGTCTTTTTTTTCCAACCATGTCCCTACCTTTTTAGGACACAAATCTATCTATCTATATCTATCTATCTATCTATATCTATATCTATCTATATCTATATCTATACTAAATATTATGGCTATTCAAAAATAACTTCTTGCCACATAAGCACTTGGTGAATGCACAAGTTGCCAAGGTGGACAATTTTTTAACAAACAAAAAACTATTTATTGATCTATTTATGAAGTTATCTCTCTCTTCTTTTAATAATTATACTCATTTTTACTAAAATTAAAATAAGTTAATTTTTTAGGAAACATTAAAACAAACAAACACATACATAAGTAATCATCTTTTTTTTGTCAATTAAACAAACTATAAAGATGGAAACAGAGAGTGATATATCGTATTTGTTTAACCCAAGCTGATTAAATCTGATTAAGTAAAAACTTTACTCATTTTTACTAAAATTTAATAATAAGTTACATTTTGATGAAGCAAAAAAAAACACACACATAAATAATATTATTTTCAATTAAACAAAATATAAACGATGGTCTAAGACAAAATAAGCGTTTGATAATCAATCGACTTTGAGAAATGATCGATATGACTATATGTTTTTTTTGCTATCAAACACTCACTTTTTTCTAATGTATATACCTATCAAATAAAACAAGTATAAATTTTATAGCAAAATGTTTGAATATAAACTTGAGAGAGCAATAATTGTTTTTTTTTTTAACTTCTTATTTATTCTGATTAAATAAAAACATATTACTTATTAATGCAAACTTTTAATTTGTTTATGTCACTTTTCCCATTTTGATTGTCTCACTAGAAATAAAATCCAACTTTGAAAATAAGAAATCAAGAAAGTATGTCAACCACCATAAAATAAACAAAACCCTCTTATTAGTTGCTAATTTTTTTGAGATTTTTAATATTTTTATTCTCATAATTATAGAGAAGGAAATGGTAATGCATATGATTTTTTTCTTCTTTGTATGAGAATATGATGCAGGAGTTACACAAGGCAGCGATTAGATGACAAAATTTTGAGCAGTTGTAACATATTTTTGCATGTTAACGAAAAAAGTTCATCTGATCATTGTGAAGATGAGGTGAACCAAGCCGAGGGTTGTCGACTGCACCCTCTTCCTACTTGATCTGAAGCTGGCAACTGGTCTCACTTTCTCAGCGGTACGTTATTGTTTGCGATTGACTGGCCGAGTTATACTCTTCTTCCAATTATTTTCTTAATTTCTTCCAAATTATAACTGCTGGATGGTAAATTTTCCCACTCTCGATGAGTGAATGTATTTCTTCTTTGTTTTTCAAGGAGAAGGGTCGTCATATACTTTTATTTAAATATATAAAATATAATTAGAAGGGTTCATTGGTTGGACTTAGGGCATACCTCATTTGATTGAATAATTGATCGTTTTTCTTGAATGCCTATTGCAACCCGATTTCTTGAATGTTGAAATAGAAAGAAGAGTTTGTGATAGTTGTTTATTATATTTTATGTTCATGATTGACATGCTACTAGCTAGCAATACAATGATGATCTGTTTAGTAATTAGTAGGTAGTAAAGAGGTTATAAGTATAAGAGAATATAATTGGGGTTTTATAAAGGTCGCGAAGAAGAAAGAAAATGATAATGGTGGTTTCTCGGTTGTCTATTTCGATGTTTTTTTAATTTCTACATGTTTGCGGTGACATTTGTTTGTTTCATTAAGGTGAATTTTTCCGCATTGAATCCCTAACTAAAGTTTGATTTTGACATGATTGGTTTCTTACAAACTACTATTTGGATTGATGCATATATTCAGTTCACAAATGAGGAATCTGCATGATAAAATGAGTTGAGTTGTATTGAAGACTGCTCCTTTCATTATTTTTTCTATCTTGTTATTAGGTAAAATCACAATTCTTTTCTGCAGGAGATATGTAGCTCTCTACAAAATATAAATTGTAATTAAGTATATGCAGTTTAATTTGCTGAAAATATTGCTTTAATAAGTTTGTGACAGCTGATAGTTTTATTTGTGGTTGGTTTCTAACACATTTTAAAGGTAATTAAACGAGTACGTGGAAGATGGATGGACGTGGATGCTAATGAGTTTCCTCATTATTCCAAAGTTGTATGCGTAAGTGATAATACACGATATTCATGGGATTTATATCGGAATATTATCTATTATCGTATACCGACATATGAGAAGGGAGAGAAAATAAAAAGCTCTTCGCTTATTTTTTTTATTAATTGAGGAATATTTTTCTTATTCTAACTTCTTCTTTTGTGGTTGTAAATTTTTTAACTTCTTTATCACAATTGTGTGCTAAAGAATGAATAACTCTTATGTTTATAATCTTAAAGGGCGAGTTCGATAAAAAAAATTCTAAATCAATAAAGAACAATCTACAAAGAGCTCAGTTACTAAAATTAAAATGTTCATAAATAAACAAAAGGTATAATAGTATGAAACAATACGTGAAATAAGGTAAGTGGGATTTACAATTCCATATATATTACCTTAACAAACATAAATAATAATAACAATTAGAATACTATAATGAATTATAAAATAACCAAACAAAATACACCGCCCAACGGGCGGGTAAAAAACTAGTGTCATATTGGATACTTTAGGACACAAAGGACACATTCTTAAAATTTTGGTTTCTTAGTGGTATTATCCCTATATAAAAAAGGTAAAAGTGACATTTCACACAAAAAGTAACATACATTAGTTAAATACTACAATAACTATCATATAAATCAAACAATGTAAACTACAATACACGAATTTTCTTATATACATGTATATTAGTATATGGTGGCTACTTCTGTGCACTCACTTTTTTTGGTGCATTCAGTGCACCCATTTCTAAAAGTGTCCATATTACATCAAATTTTGAACTTTAATTAGTACTTTCAATCTAACATGATGATATGACATAGAATCATAACAAATCAATCTATTACCCTAACCCCTTAACCTTCAATTTTGAATCCCAATGCAAAATCCCAAACTGTAAACCTAAACCCTAACCCTAAACCCCTAAATACTAAATCCTTCAAATTAGAGTAAATCTTAAATGATTTTTTTTCAAATTCATGGGCTTATTGTTCATAATATCATAAGCAACAATTGATACCATTTTAAAGTGAATCGCATGCTCAGAATGATGATTATGAGGCGGGTGTGCTGAGTATACGAATGAAAATGTATCAATTTAACTATCAAAACCAAACCACCCAAAAACTATATTTAACGGGGCTAAAACCGTGTGCCGCACCCGCTGGAACTCGCCCTCTGCCGGTCATCTCATCAACAAAAAGACCAGTTCAACAGCAAAAGTCAGTCAGCCCAGCCGTCTCCTTTTCGTTCTCTTCCCCTTTTACCCATGTTCCTCTTCTCTCCCTCCTCCCCGCCCGAGGGGCACAATCGTCAAACGCCTATTTCTTCCGTCCGTTGTGACTGCTCATATGAAGTCATATCCTCTCCCTTGTCTCTCTCCTCCTCCTCCTTCTCCTCCGCCCGATCGGCTAGCTCCGTCAGCTCCCTTACTTCTTCAGGTAACTTCCCATCATCTTGTTTGGCCGCGAAAACTCTGTTTGGCATGACCATCCCCATAGCCTTTCCGTGCTAAGATTTCTCTTCCTGCTGGCTGTTATTTTTCATTCTGACTTGCGTTGACGCTTGCTTCCTTACCTTATCTCTCTTTATCGACTTTCTAAGCTCCCGCGAGGCGAGATGCAACCCTATCACTTTTTCCTTGTTCCGATTTCCCTCTGGATCCGTCGGCATATGTTTAATTTCCCCCCAGATCTTCTCCTTCTCCTCCCTCGTTAGGGTTCCAGTCCCAGAATTTTCTGTTTCCTATTTGTCTCCGCTCGCTTGCAGCTAATAAGTCAGTGTCTGACTGTTTCTGTCGGTTGTGAAATTCGTTTGCTCTAAGCTCATGACTCTTGTTCACCCGTGATTAGGAATCTTTTGGTGTGGTAATGCAGGTCCGGCGAGGTAGTTGATGGGCACATCCTCTGGTTCGAACATCCACCACCAGAATAACTCGTCTTCAATGTTGCCTCCACGTCAGCAGAATCCCCGCCCAACTGGACTGCACACCTCATTATCCCTCGTCCCTTCATCGGATCCTCGCTTGTCCCCAGAAGGTCAGGAGCCAAGGTCCAACTCCGATAACCGCCGCGAGTCCCCTACAGAGAGTGCGAGTTCCCGGGAGACTTGGCCTACTACCGATCCCTTAACGGCGTCCAAGAAGATGGAGAGTAATGGCAAGGCTGAGAACAGCAACGATTGCCCCCCGGAGCAGTCTGTCATTCGCCGCGTCTCCTCTGCTGATAGGATATCTCTTCGCGACATAGCTAGAGAGCGGGTCGATGTGGTGGCAGAGAAGATGCACAGGCTGCCTGATGAGTTTCTCGACGAGCTGAAGAATGGGCTCAGGATGATACTCGAGGGAAATGGTGGGTCGCAACAGAGAGAGGAGTTCTTGATTTTGCAGAAGCTTGTCCAGAGTAGGTCGGATTTGACTGCCAAGACATTGATAAGGGCACACCGTCTGCAGCTAGAGATCCTTGTGGCGATTAACACAGGGATTCAGGCTTTCTTGCATCCCAACATCAGCCTCTCACAAACTGCTCTGATCCAGGTTTTTGTGTTCAAGAGATGTAGAAACATAGCTTGCCAGAACCAACTTCCGGCTGATGATTGCACCTGCGATATATGCACCAACAGGAACGGGTTCTGCAATCTCTGCATGTGTGTGATCTGCAACAAGTTTGATTTTGAAGTGAACACTTGTCGGTGGATTGGCTGTGACTTGTGTTCTCATTGGACTCATACTGATTGTGCTATTCGTGATGGGCAAATATCTATGGGGTTGTCTTCCAAAACTGGAGCTGGACCAGCCGAAATGCTTTTCAGGTGTCGAGCTTGTAACAGAACGTCTGAGCTCTTGGGTTGGGTGAAGGATGTTTTCCAACATTGTGCACCTGCATGGGAGAGAGATGCTCTGATGAGGGAACTTGACTTTGTCAGTAGAATCTTCCGTGGTAGTGAAGACCCCAGAGGGCGCAAACTGTTTTGGAAGTGTGAGGAACTTATTGAGAAGATGAAGGGTGGGCTTCCAGAGTCTTCTTCTTGCAGAGCAATATTGATGTTCTTCCAAGGTGAGGGTTTCTTTTCTCATATTAGCTACTGCATTTGCTAGAACCTTAACCACAAAATTACAAGTCTCATGGCATGAGAAGTCATGATAACAATTAACAAGTTAGCTTTTGGTAGCTCATTCATGGCCTGGACAGTAATGCTCACAAATCTCTTGGTACTTAAGTTTGTGCTGAGTCAAGTATTGTTTTCATTTTCAGTACCACATTTCATACTAAGACATTTATTTTGGACTCGGTGCATAATTAGGCTTTATTGGTCAAGTTGGTGTATGGTTAATGGATGAATTTCTTGAAATGTAGCCAATTAAGTTTATATAATGTTTGAAGTGCAAGTATATATCTTAAATGATTCTTTTACCTAATTCATATATTTTGCTTGATAACTGTAACACAACTGAATCAAACTAAGGATGACGATGAACACTGTATATCCAGAAAATCCAATCATATAGCGTGAAAAGAGGGTGTTATTGACCTAGTCTAGGCAACCCCTTGTACATTTGTTCTGAATAACTTTTTCCTTTTCCATAGAGCTCGATGTTGACTCACCAAAGAGCCTTGAAAATGGTGAGGGTGGAAGGTTAATAGCCCCACAGGAGGCATGCAGCAGAATAGCGGAAGTAGTACAGGAAGCCATAAGGAAGATGGAAATGGTGGCCGATGAGAAAATGCGAATGTTTAAGAAAGCCCGCATGGGCCTTGAAGCATGTGACCGTGAGCTGGAGGAGAAGGCCAAGGAGGTGACTGAGCTGAAACTAGATAGGCAAAAGAAGAAGCTACAGATAGACGAGTTGGAAAGAATTGTGAGGCTCAAGCAAGCTGAAGCTGACATGTTCCAGCTTAAAGCCAACGAAGCTAAAAGAGAAGCCGAGAGATTGCAAAGGATAGCTCTCGCGAAGACAGAGAAATCAGAGGAAGACTATGCCAGCAGTTATCTGAAGCAAAGGCTGAGTGAAGCCGAGGCAGAAAAACAGTATCTATTCGAGAAAATTAAACTTCAGGAAAGTTCAAGGCCGTCACAAAGCGGTGGTGGCAGTGGTGGGAGTGATCCGTCACAGGTTCTGTCATATTCCAAGATTCACGACCTGCTTCATGGCTACAACGCAGGTCCGAAATCAGACTCCCAGTTGAGTGATCGCCACCACCATTTCAGGACTAATCCTTGAGAGAAAAATTCCCGGCTTGTGGTCTCCGTCTCTTATGTTAGCTTTCTAAGTTCTAACTAGCTAAGCTAGAGAATGTTGCTCTTGCTGCAGAAGTTTGGATGCAATGCTATTTGGTCGTGCTTGTGTTTAGTCTTTAACCTGAATTCTTTTCGTTTGTCGGCGGTCTGTTCCTTTCTCCTTTCTTTGTTTGTTGTTGTGTACCTGTGTAATCAGAATATGGAGTGGGAGATCCTATCGTTTGTTTATATTAACGTTATCCAATATCCATGTTTTGCAACATGAAGACTATTATTAATTTTTGTGATTCATTTTGAAACTTATGTGAATTTGTTTGCCTGTCTTTGATGGTTAGTTGATGAGAGTAAATTGATAATCGGTGGTCACAGATTCACTCGCCTAGCAATGGCAAGCAGATCATTGCTAGACTGATAGTACAGCGGTTTCGAATCGTATTTCAATAGAATGTTAACTTCACTATTACTTTGTTTTAAACTTGACTGATGTCAAGTAATAAAATTTGGTTGTCAACGGTGCTAACTACTCCTACTTAGCGCACCAGGTCATCAAAGCGGTATAATGGTGACCGAGATCATGTTTCATGGGTCGTTAGATATATTGCTACTCTAACTATTATTCCTATTTAACCAAGCGATTAAGTGGTGAAATTGTTAAATACGCAAAGAATTAACTTGCTGTTGGTAATTTAACTCTGATACAATCTACAAGATGTTTGGACCGAAAATAAAACACAGGATTATCAGCCAATTAAGTAGCACGTAAGTTATCACACCATGGACAGCCGAGCTCAGTCAGCAAAGCTTGAAGCCAAATTACTTCGGATGCCAAGGTTGCTCGTGATCAATATTCAAATTGTGTGTCGACCAAGAAACCAGATTGTGATCTTGTGGACAGGATGCAAATTAGAGTAACCATGTAGCTCCGGTCAAGACGTTCGGCGGAAAACAAGTCCCTGACTCAAGGTACCTTGCAGAATGAAGCACATGCTTGACGGCAGACCAGTGAGCATCCGTCGGAGCATGTTGGAACTATGAGACGTGGTTTACTGCAAAGGATATATCCAGGCGAGTGAAACTCAAATATGAAAGACCACCGACAATGCTACGATATAAAACCATATTAGTGACTCACTCTAACTATCACAATAAAATCCCACCTAAGGTCCAAGTATAAACCTTAGATGGATGCAATATAGAGCAAGTATGTTTAAATATGGACCTGGGCTGGTCCATGTACCGCTACTTCGATTGCTTGAAACATTAGCGGATCGGTTTTGGTGAAAACTAAATTACTTTGCAAAGGTAAAATGGACTTGACTCTAGTTGAGAAAACTTCACTCGGATGTTGCTCCCCCTAGCTAACAATTATTACTTGAAGAATCGAACGAACGTGTGTGGTTAGGGGGTTAAGTAGATTAGCAATCCCTAGTCTTCCATATAAACCGCAGGGAAGTCTAACAAGCAACCAAAGTTACCCTCTTAGACTCTAGGTTGAGGAATAGGATACGATCAAGCCACTGATGTGACCTTCTCAGCCTATCGACTAAGGAATGGTTAGGAGGTTTTCTCTTTAATTAACCTAGACTAAGAGACATAGAATGCCCAACGAAACCCATCTCTAGTAGAGCCTCTTAAGTTAAGGAGGGTTCTCCCTAACCTAGCTTAGGAGGCATTGAATACCCAAGGAAACCCATCTCGAAATGAGCCTCTTAGGTTAAGGAGGATTCTCTCTAAACTAGTTTAGGAGGCTTTGAAATCCCAAGGAAACCAAACCTCTTGGGTAGGTTTCCTCTCTAAACTAGCCTAGGAAGCATGAAATGCCCAAGAACCCCATCTCAATAATGAGCCTCTTAACCTAAGGAGGTTTCCTCTCTAAACTAGCTTAAGTGGCTTGAAATGCCCAAGAACACCAAATGAACCTCCTAACCTAAGGAGGTCTCCTCTTTAATCTAGGTTAAATTGGCAATTAGATTGATAGACTTTCACACAACACAATTATTTCTGAATAGTACCTCCACATTCACATTAAAACACAACCACACACAAATCATTCAATTCTTACAAGCATTCACATAATTGTAGCTAGGGTTTTCAAACACCCAAGTGAAATAAGGGACTACTCTATGCTAGGAGAAGGGAAACACACAAAAGAGGGAAAGGAAAACCATCATGAAGATGCAAGCCTTGCTCCTTGAGCTGAAGAAAACCCAAATCCTTGCTTGGAGATCAAACCATAGTTTTTCCTCTTCTTTGGTTCGTCACTTTCTCACTCTAAAATCTGAAGAAGGAGAAGTTTTCTCCTCTAGGTCTCTCTCCTTTCTTCTTTGCTTCATGTTTCCTTTTTAGTGGGAGATCGCGTTGAGTTCACGGTCTGAGTTCACGGCCGTGAACAATGAAACGCGTCCGTGAACTCAGTGCTGCGACCAAAACACACCGCTTCATTTGCTTGGGTTCACGGTCAGTGGCCCTTGTTCACGGTCTTAGCAACCGTGAACTGTCTGGGCGCTAGTAACTTGAAAACCCCCATGTTTGCTCCTCGCTTCACGTGCCATGGCTCCAGTTCACGGTCATGTAAGACTGTGAACTCCAACGTCTGGCTGTGAACTGCGGCTATCTCTAGTCTCCACCTCTTTGCCCGGTCTTTGCTCCTTTTTCTTCCAACTTTCGACTCCGGGTTTGGTTTTACCTGTTAGGATCTGAAACACACTAAAACACAAGGAACCTAGCGTAAAACCAACCTTTTTGGAGTTCAATTGCAACAAACGTCAAAGATAATTGGGGGTAAAAAGTGTACAGTTAGGCCTGAATCACTCCCCCACACTTAAACGTTTGCTTGTCCCCCAGCAAACCATTTCACACAAGGTAATCTCTCAACCTATAAAAATGCTTTGGGGACAAATCAAAGGGCACAAAGTGGTGAATCTCAATGGCTATTGGCAATTAACACATGGATCGTTGCAAGCAATACTGACATCCACCACAAACGACATTCTTATCAGAAACCCCCTAATTCAATAAACATAAAATTGAAACCCAGCTCCAGATTGATTGACGGTGATGACTTGAAGAAGAAACAGAGGAAGGATTCGTCGACAACGAAACTCAGCCAAATGACCATTGTCACCAATGAAGCTCGACCACTCCAAAGGAACCTCTTCCATTGTCGCCTACGAAGCTCTGTGTCGCCGCCAACGAAGCTCGGCCACTCCAACAAACCTCTTTCTTCATCGCCAAGGAAGTTCTACCGTGGCCGCCGCCTGCTAACTTGCCTCAGACCACGGTCAAAACCTAAGCTTCCACCTAATCAAATTAGGGATGGCAATTACCCACCCATGGGTAATTATACCCAAATCCAAGTAGACCCATTGATAATGGGTTGGGTATGGGTGAAGTGCATATGGGTTTGGGGGTTTGTAGATAGGTTGGGTATGGATTTTGCTTCCATAATCTAAATGGGTATGGGTTGGATATGGATATCCATTTACTTGAGTGTGCTTTAACTACACATATCAAAATTGGACCTATTTGTAAAACTTGAAAATTTAGGTACCAAAATGTAAGACCAAAATTTTTAGGTACCAAAACGTAATTTTTCATCGATATTTTGGGGACTTATATGCGAAAAATTTAAATTTAGGTACTAAATATGTATATCTATTAAGTTTAGATACCAAACTGTAATTTGCATTTGGACATGGGTACAAACCCAAATCCATTTGTTAAAAACCAGATTAATTGCAAGGTTAGTCACTGAAATTACCGAAAAGGTTCACGTTTGGTCACTAAAAATATTTAATTTCATTCGTAATCACTGAAATTAGTTAACAGGCCAAATTTAGTCACTCTCTATTAGTCTCTGTTAACTTCCGTTAATTGAGTCCGTTATTTGCTGACGTGGCTAACAGAAACACCTAGTCAACCTAATTTAATCCAAAAAAATGTAAATCCGACCCGCCATGTCATCTTTCATCAAAACCCACCATGTCAGATTGAGACAACCCAACCTGTAACCCAATCCTTCCCACCCAGCGACCCGACCCTATAATCTACATCTACCGGCCATTCCTTCTCCTTTACCAAAAAAGAATCACTCTAAAGCAAGATCGACAATGAACCGAATTGCTGCAATTAAACCTAATAAACTACTCCAAAATCAAACACTCACTAAGAAGTTGATGGTGGAAATCAATATCATCTGGAGCGAAGGCATAGACAAACACCCAATGCAAGATTTCACCAGCCCAAAACAGAATTACTATTCAGCTATTCTTCTCTTCCGGATCCCATCAATCGAGAGAAACCCCACACATCCAAACCATTTCAACATCATAAGAGAAATGTAATGGCAAACAAATCGTGAAATGGCCCCAAAGCAGAAGGGGTGGAGAAATCACCCTTAACCTATCAGAAAAGAAAAAGAGGAAAAAGGAACAAAGGGGAGAAACGAAATGAAGATCTCTGGGATTGGTGATTTCCAGCGGCGACTTCTTCCTAAACCCAGCACTACAATTGATTTTCGGCTGCTCCATCTGTGATGCTTCTGATTTCTCGTTCTGGGTTCGTTGTTCTTGTTCGTCGACGTGCTTCATCTACGACTGCTTTTGGGTTCGATTGCTGGATTCTGGGTTTGATTGAAGCAATGATGGTTGGATCTGCTCCGCCGCGGGCCTTCTTCCTTCTCCTCTGTTGGTTCTATTTCTGGATGATGACGGTAGTGGATATCTATGGAGGGAGTCGGCAAGTGAACTGCTCTCAGATTTTTCTGAATCAATGCACTACTCCTTCATCTTTCCCATCTTTGTTGAAGCTTTCGTTAATTTCCCGCGGCCAGTCCGACTCCATATCCAACAACGAGTTCGGCAAGAGCAGATCAAGGTAGGAGCAGATAAATACCCGGCGTCATTCTGAATTCGGCGACGAGTTTGGTTGGAGCAAACAAACCAGACTGTATCGATTTATGGGCTCGCATCAGGATGGGAGAGGGTGAAAGGAAGAGGGGCTCGAGAGACGATGGTGATGGGACTTGCCGGTGGTGGTGGAGTCGGTCGGGTTGCTGCGATGGGTTTTGTTGGTGAGGGAAGGGATATAGAAGACGAAACGTATATATATAGAGAGAGAGAGAGAGAGAGAGAGGAGAAGAGGTAGAGAGGGTTGGCTCACTGGTTAGTTCACGGGTCGGTTATGGTTAAATGACGTGGCGGGTCGAGTTCAATTTTTTTTGGATTAAATTGGGCTAACTATGCAATTCTGTTTGCCACATCAGCAAATAACGGACTCAATTTAACGGAGTTGACGGCGACTAACGGAGAGTGACTAAAC